TTCCTGGCTGTGCAATCTGAACTAAGTCCCTTATCCGCCCTGTACTTCTGTTTCCTCATTTATAAAATACAGTAACAATGTCTTCTCCTGAGGGGGCTCAGCAGCAGCTCCTGCACAGCTATCTGTCATTTTGTATTTGCCTGGCTCTGGGGACCAGGGAGGAAACAGACATGGGCCTGGTCTTCGGGAAGGGGAGAAAGAGCAAATAAATGAGGAAAGAAATGCATGACCATAAATTGGGGTATGCGCTCTGAAGAACAGAGTGCGGTGACAGAGCGTGGGGGAGGCAGGATGGGGTGGGGTCGAAGACAACAGATGAGGGTGTGAAAACACTCGGAAGGCCGCTGTCCACAACTGGCAGGTTGAGCTCAGCCTGCAGCCCCGCAGTGCCCTTGTCCCCCACCCCCTGCCTCCAAGCCCCGGAGAGTGAGTCCAGCTCGGTGCCTCACACTCATCCATCACATGGAGGCCCAGGAGTGAAGTCCCACCCACAGGCAAATTTCATTTGTCTCACCTGCAAATTGCTTTCATTTCAGAAATTTGATTTCACTGCTAAAATTTAAAACCAGGAGAGGGCTCATTAAAAAAAAACAATTTTCAGCTTTTGCCTAAAAAAAATGGGAAGATCTAGCAATTCTGGGCCACTTTCTCTCCTGGCATGAGCAATCTAGTTTGCCACACTCCCCACCCCTCCCTAATCTCATACACCTGTCTGGCGCCCCTCCTTTGTATTAACTACTTGCCTGGTCCCTTTAGGTCCCTGAGTTTGCAGCCCCTACACCAAATGCTGGAAACCCCACCAGAGCAGATCTGTGCTGGGTATAACCCACGGCCCCTCACATCCACGTTCACTTTCTCTAGGCCCCAGGAGGCCACTCCATACTGACTATTAGCAGGTCCCTGTGCCCTCTGGCCAGTAGAGGCACCTGTGGGAGACCTGGGGGGGTTACTCTCCTGGCGCTCTTCTAGTCAGGTGGCACTGGCTCTGGGTCATTTTGGTAAAGCCCCAGCCCTCCAAGCACTCCTCCCCTGGAGCCGCCCCCCAGGGCTCTGGGCACACTCCACCCCTGTCTTATGTCCCTGGAGTGGGAACTGCTCCCTCTGTGATCAGTCTGGACTGTACCATCCCTTCATTGCTTTTTCTAAGCCCTGCTCATATCTGCATATCTTTAATCAAATCTCAGATGATGCCACCCACTCCTGCCTGACCTCTGATTCAGGCCCACCATCCCTGGAATGGGGGACACATGAGGCTGGGTGTGTGGGCGGTGCTCAGCACATGGGGCGAAGGAAGGGATGGATTGCTGGAGCCATGCTGTCTGGTTTCTCCTAAGACTGTGTCCTCGACCAAGGAGCTGGCCACCTCTAAACGTGACCCTTCACCAACAATCCCGCCCCCAGCCCCGCCACCTCATCAGACTCAGGGCCGGGTCCCTAGAAACGTCTCCCATCCAAGAAACAGCATCTTCCTTTCCCCAAATGCACTGGACCACTTTAAATGCACGTCTCATCTGCTCCAAGAGTGCATAAACAACTCCCGTTTTCAATCATGTTGGGGACATGGTGCCAGCCCTCATAACCAGGTCTCCGGGAGGGAGTGACAGCTGGCATTAGTATTTCAGCACGGCCTCAGAAAGCACATGGCAAGCGCCGTGAACATCGTGGCCTGCTTGTGCAGCCTTTGCTAGCTGGCAAGCTGAGCTAGCACAGGGGCAGTGAGGCCCCGCTCGGCCCGGATAAGCAATTTCCTATACCTTTGAGGACAGAAAGAGAGAAAAAAGCACCCTTCTCCCCACAAGCCCCCTGGGTGTCAGGTGTCCACAGAGCCTTGTTCCCCAGCCAGTGCTGTGTCCTCCCACAGGCTGAGCGGCCTTTCATCAAATCCTGGTGGTAACAAAGCTTGGCATGTCCAGTGCTTACCACATGGAATTCAGTGCTGGGTTGTCTCCGTTTTACAGAAGGACTCAGGCTGGAGTCTACACAGCTCACTCTGAATCACAGAGCTTGCCAGAGGAAGAGTAGAGGTCGAGACCCCCCAGCCTGTACCTGTGACCCATGCTGGCCATGATTCCTTGACCCCTGAGGGAGCCAGTGCAGAACCTAACTGCCTGGCAGGGCCTCTGGGAGCTTGGGGCTCTTGCTGGAGACCCTGCCTGTCCCGCTGATGCTGACGAAGAGGCCAGACTGTAAGGCAGTGAGGCATGAAGCTCAACGCCCATCCACAGGTCACACAAGCCAGCTGCAGATATCTGCTTTGATGAGGCTCCTTGGACGGCCTTGGAGAGTTGATGGAGGTAAAGACGAGGGCAGCCTGGTGAGGGGGGAGATGAAACTCTGACACTAAATAACCCAAGCAGAGCAGCTGCTCCATTTCTGCAGGAGCAGGGTGTGAAATGAAGGCGGGAGGATGGCTCCTCCAAGGCGCCTTGTGAAGGACATTAACCACGCCGGAGCCCACAGATGCGTCCCCATGTTGCACAGCTATCGAGCACGTACTAAATGCTAGCCTGTGCTAGGTGCTGGGACTAGAGACAAGCAGACAGAGGCCGTGCCCTCAGAAAGCTCTCAGTCGAGCGAGGGAGCACAGACAATAACAGCTAAGGTCCTGTTCATGCTGGGGTGGTCTGTGCATGATAAACGTTGTGATGGCAGAACCTGGTGTTCCAAGATCCAGAGGAGACTTATTCCAAGGTGCACATACCAAACAGCAAACACGCCTTAGAGAAAGCAAAGCGTACAGCACCTCTTCACTTGTGTCTTCTGATAGACGACAGTAAAAGCAGCATCCAAGGGAGCCCCACTTCACAACACAGGAAAACATTTCTTACACACTATTTCCTCTCCCAACTCTGCCACCTCACATTTCCCTCAGAGACTCTTATTTGCTTAACTTTCATCCCCAAAACTCACCCTTGCACTCCATCCTCTTTCTTTTTCCTCTTGCCTTTCTCTCCTAGTTTTTGTTTTCTTTTTTGTTTTTGTTTTTGTCTTTTTTTTTTTTTTTTTGAGATGGAGTTTCACTCTTGTTACCCAGGCGGGAGTGCAATGGCGCGATCTCAGCTCACTGCAACCTCTGCCTCCTGGGTTCAGGCAATTCTCCTGCCTCAGCCTCCTGAGTAGCTGGGATTACAGGCATGCGCCACCATGCCCAGCTAATTTTTTGTATTTTTAGTAGAGATGGGGTTTCACCATGTTGACCAGGATGGTCTCGATCTCTCGACCTCGTGATCCACCCGTCTCGGCCTCCCAAAGTGCTGGGATTACAGGCTTGAGCCACTGCGCCCGGCCTGTTTTTGTCTTTTTGAGACAGAGTCTTGCTCTGTCACCCAGGCTGGAGTGCAGTGGTGCGATCTCAGCTCACTGCAACCTCTGCCTCCAGGGTTCAAGCAATTCTCCTGCCTCAGCCTCCCAAGTAGCTGGGACTACAGGGGTGCGCTAGCATGCCTGGTTCATTTTTTAATTTTTTTGTAGAGACAGGGTTTCCCATATTGGCCAGGCTGGTCTTGAACTCCTGACCTTCTGATCCGCCTTCCTCGGCCTCCCAAACTGCTAGGATTACAGGTGTGAACCACCGCGCCCGGCCTTCTCCTAGTTCTTTTAAAATGTATGTTTGCAGCCTCTCCCCAAGGAAAGGAAGCGGCATTCCTCTCCTCCTCACCCCTTTCTCAGCTCATGCTCTATACCTTGGCTTGTAGGAGGTGGCCATGCCCCTCAGTTTACCTGGCCAGTCCTGCCATACATCTGGTACCCTGACAAAATGTTTAATAGCTCCTCCTCTCACTCCCCAAAGTGCCCCAGTTTGATCAATAAATTACATAGTCTCTCTATCAGCACATCACCTCCTGGTGAGGCTCATCCCCCCTTGGAGCCCTCTCCATGTATGTCTCCTGCTGTCATCCTCTTTCAAGACAGCCTACTTTTCTTCCCTCATGGGGCTTCTTACTTTGAAATGCATTGTTTTGTTTGAGGGCAGGAAATCTGTTTCCTCTTCCACCTACGTGAGGACCTACACACTGTTTGGGACATTTTAACCACTAAATACATATTAGTGGGTGGGTGGGTGGATGGTGGTTGGGGAGATGGATGGAGGAAGGGAATGAGGGAGGGAAGGAAAGATAAGTGGCAGGATGGTGGGTGGTGGGACGGATGGATGGTGGGAGGGATGGTGGATGGGGTAGATAAATGAATGGGTTTTAGGGAAACCGGTTAGAAAGCTAGTGCAGTCATCCAAGGAAGAGAAGGTGATCAGCTGGGAGGAGGTGAAGATGGAGGTAAGTGGGTGATTTTTACACCACTGCTGGAGATGGACTCAAATGGACTTGGCCATGCTGGGCGAAGAACGGACATGAACTCAGGCTTCCTGCTTGGATCCTGACAGAGCCTTCTCTCCCCAGGCACCTTACCTGGGGGACAAAATCCCTGCTGTTTCTTGAGGAAGCAGCTTATTGTCATGAAAATAGTTCAGAGGAACTGTGGAGTGACCCACACCAGTTCCAAGAGGAACTGGAACCTGTGGGCTGGAAGAGGCAGGCCTCCCAGCCTCCACTGGCCTGACAGGCGCCTCTCAATCACTCCTTAACTGCACAAGAGCCATTGCTAGTTAATAAAGAGTCCTTAAAACCCTCCAAAGGTGCAACGCCACGCCCACAATACATCGCAAAAAGTTAAATGGAAAATCTGGGACCGTCTATCAGCAGGGAGCTCAAGCGCCTTCTGTTGGGAGTGAAGAGGAACTCGGGGAGATTGTGAGCAGCCACTGTGAGCCTCAGTTTGCTTCCGTGTAATGCAGAGATCATAGCAGTACCTGCCTCCCAGGCTAATTGGAAGATAATATGAGGACATGGTCACATGAGGCTCCCAGCAGCACCTCCCCAACCCATGCTGCAACTGCTGCTTGTGCTGGGGTCTTATACACGTATTTAAGGACATACTAATTTCATCCTTGTAACCAGCCTCCACACTGGCCTTTCTCTTTCCAGTTTGCTGATGAGAAAACTTACAGTTGGGGCACCGCAGCCTCTCTCCAGGTTTGTGCAGCCGGCGGAAGTGGTCACTGCAGGTCTCACACTGACGGATGGGTCACGCACATCCCATGTGTTTTACTTTCTGAGTTGATCTAGGACAGGAGCCGGCACACCTTTCCTGTGAAAGACCAAACGGTAAACAGGTTTGGCTTGGTAGGCCACACAGTCTCTCTGTTGTAACTATCAGACCCTGCCCTTGTCCCACAGAAGCAGCCATGGGCAAGACTGCATTCCAATAAAACTTTATTTACAAAAACAGGCCCAGGCCAACCCCTTGCTCCAGAGAGCACAGAGAATGAAAATTCTTGAGGTGTACATTTTACCTCAAATATCAGTTGCTGGGTTTGTACACGTCCAAGGGTTAGAAGTGGACAGTTAAAGCAGCCCACGTCCCAGTGTTTTCTGTGAGAAGGCGTGTAAGGAATTCCTCCCCGACATTTCTCCTGGGGAGGATGCTGAGGCAGGTTTTCTAACTGAAGGTTAAGCTCTCCAAATTGCTGTGTCCATAGAGATATTTTCTTGCTTCCCTCTCTCAGCATCTGGTAGGAAGCAGAAACCACCCTTTCTTTGTTGGTGGGCAGGAAAGGCAGCCAGCCAGGGGATCGAGAGACAGGCCACCTCCCAGAATTACTCTGTGGCCACCATCTTGGAACCACGTTCTCCTGGGAATACATGGATGATGTGAATAAACGTGCTTTTCAGTAGGAAAAAAGTTCAAATGTGTTCTCTAGAGGAGCATGTTGCTTCTGGATGCCAACTTGCTTCTTAGAAATGTTTTTTCCACCCAGGCGCAGTGGCTCAAACCTGTAAATCCCAGCCCTTTGGGAGGCCTAGGCAGGCAGTGGATAACCTGAGGTCAGGAGTTCAAGACCAGCCTGGACAACATGGTGAAACCCTGTCTCTACTAAAAATGCAAAAATCAGCCGGGTGTGGTGGTGGGTGCCCATAATCCCAACTACTCAAGAGGCTGAGGCAGGAGAATTGCTTGAACCCAGGAGGTGTAGGTTGCAGTGAGCCAAGATTGTGCCACTGCACTCCAGCCTGGGTGACATCTCAAAAAAAAAAAATGCTTTTTCCAGAAGGTGGGGCTGGGGGGGTGGTGAGGCTATGATTAAACCTTAGGTCTTCTGTCATCTTTCCATTGAACTAGTAACTTCCAAAGCCATCATGTGTAAGAAGCAGGAAGGAATAGGTGGATGAGGGGAGCCGAAAATGGTTGTTGTTTTTAACTCTGAGCACATTTATAACAGAATTGTAACTGTATAATGTTATGGTATCACTTAACTGACATATCTACTTTGGAATGTTTATAACTACTGTAAATCAAGGGGCTGCCAAGCCAGGGCAGCGGCCACACGTAGACATTCCAAGGAAAACGTATAAAATAAATAAAACAATCACACAGTATCAACATTCCATTCCCGGCTAGAAAACGGAAAATGTAACTGCCCTGGCAAAAAATGCAAGCGCCGAAAGATGAATGTGCTAGGAGCAGAGGCAGATGGGGCCTCCTCACGAGTGCTCAGGAAAGATGTCAAGTGGGGAAAGGTTATGAAGTCAGTAAGCACGAAGCGCCTGGCCCCAGCGGGCACTCCCAGCCCCGCTCCCTGGGCTTGCAAGGCCTCACCACGGCATTCCTCCTGATGGTCTATGGGTGGCTGTGAGTTTCTGTGTTGTGGGGACGTGGTCGTAGCCGCTTTTGTGACTTCCCTCTTTATGACTTCTGTCCAATTTACATTATCTAAAGAAAAATAAAGATTTGTTATCCCCAAGGCGTAACATTCTGCAGATTTACAAACTGCTGGATTTCTGACCTTTGCGATTGCTTTTGGGCTTAAACTACTTTTCTGTCTTGACCAGTGGCTTGTAAAGTACACATCAAAATGAATTCTGGCTACATAAACATCTGGTCATTAAAGCCGGGCAGGTCTTTGGTTTGAAGGCAGCCACCGTAGCATTCTTAGGTCGCCTGGTGCTTTTCTTCACGGCAGACTCTGGGTGCATGACAGCAGAGGCACAGCCATGAATCCTGAAACTGTAGGTTTTTGTTTTTAAGTGGTAGCAAAACTCTTTTGAGCCATCTTTCTTGTCTCAGCACCTTTGAGGTAGAAGGTACAAGCTTGGGTAATAAAAACTACCAAAAGTTAAAAATTAATAACCACAGGGATTAATCACATCTAGGAGGACTTTGAAGCCATTTGTCTTTCTCCCAGGAGAGGATCTTTGCTTTCTGACAGCTCTGGAGGAAAATGCCCAAGTCGTTTCCCCTACAATTTTTTGGACAACTACTTTTGTCTTTTTGAGTTTAATGTTTCTTTGTTCATCAAATGAGGAAAATGGACAAACTCTGTATTCTTCAGAGCTTGGATTTGGGGTGGGGGAATGCATGCTTTCCTCTGATGGCATGAAAAAGGTGTAGCACGCTTAAAGTTAATAAAGCCCCCAAACACACAGAAAACAGAATTTCCAAGAAGGGCAGTGAGAATCACAGAAACAGGGGCACATCCCAACCAGTTCAGCCTCTCAGTGAGCTGAACTTCCTTCCCCTGGACCTTAATTTGAGAAGAAAGAAAAAGAAAATCATCCTCAATCTCATGGTCTAGAATTCATATGTTTAGCCCAGGACAGAATCGCAAAGGGTAAGTGTGGATACTTGACCAAGTCTACCTTCTTTCTTGGTGCTTTTCAAGCCACGTTGGTTCTGAAAGTTCTTTCCACACCTCTGTGGGCTTGGGTTGTAAACGCCTGGTTCCCTGGACTGTCAGAGGCCAGCAGGGCAGGAGGCCAGAGTCTGACTGATGACTTGCATCCTTGGGGCCTCTCGAATGAGGGTTCCATCCACGAACTAATGGCAGGGCTCTCTCCCCTCCCGCCCTCCCGTGAACACCTTGCTCCCTGCCCATGAACGGGAAAGTATACCTGCCAAGCGCTCCATTTCTAAACACAACAGGCAGGGATGTCGATTGCGGAATTCCAGATGTCAATATTTGTATTATTGGATCATAATTACATTTCACAAAAATTACTGCAAAGAAAAAAAAAATGACTGCTCCCTGGAAGTGAGATTTACTGTCCCTTTCCGTCCTTTGTCTGCCTCCTCGAGTGGCCTCATTTCTCACTGGGCCTCCGATGATTTATTATTTTGGGGACCCCAGTGGGAACACAGCATTGCCTTTCTGTAAAGGTCACGTGGTGAACGCAGGCTTTATCCGGGTCAGAAGCTGCCCTCAGACACCAAAGGGAAACCCCAGATGAAGTTAATCACCATCCAGCCCATGGCAGGTCAGTGAGCCCTCTCGGGGCGGGAGGGGGCTGGCCTCTTTGTACCACCAGCTCCTCTCCAGATGAAGACATTCACGTTTTCATAACGTTTGTGGTTCTGATCATTTCGCCTGGGCCTTTGTTTTTCTCCCCTAGGTGAGGGGAGGGTGGGCCTCACATTTCTCCATAGCCAGCTCCTGATCTGCGAGCCAAGGTCCCAGGAGGCCCCAAGTCTACCTTCAGGGCCTGTTTAGCACAACCAGCCACATGGACAAAAAGTAAAGGAAGCCAAATGGCAACTCTGACTTGCCCCCATGGTTCCAGTTATGAGGCAAGTGTCCTAAGGCCACCAGGGCACCCACAGGGGGGTGTCAGAAGTGACACTTTTAGGCTTTGGCAGCCTTGAAACACACTGCCACATTAGCCACGTCTGCAAGGCTGCTACCTTGGAGGAGGGAGGGAGTTTCATCCACGCTGAGTGGGCCAGGCCCCACGTGCAGACACTTCACGTTAACCAGCACACATGACAGCACAGCAAGGAGCATCCACTGGAAAACTTTGTTCTGAAGTTGGGGGGGCCCTAATCCCCCAAACTTCCCTTTTTCTCCAGTTAAAGGGACACAACCTGGTGGGTAGAGCTGCTCAGGAAAACCAGCTTAGGCGATGGCAGGAGGGCAGTGGTGTGAGCAGTAGAGGGTTCTTGAAAATCATCCTTAATTTCATTAATAAATGCCCCCCAAATCCCAAAGACAGCCCTGCCCCTTCCTCGGCTTAGGAGAGACAGTTTAAAAAGATCATCAGTGGAAATGTGTTGGTGCTGTGTGTCTGGGTCTGGGACTGGGTACCCAGGGCCAGGGTGGGCAGCCTTTTGTGGAACTAAGCTGGTGGCCCCAGCCCCCGGGCACTCCGGCTGGAGCTCTCCTGTGGCTCCCAGTACCCTGACGCCATGGGCAGAGGAACACACCGGAATCAGTACAATTATGATGACTGACTGTCTGCAGTTCAATATCAATCTTTCAGAAAGGCTTGGCTTTGGAGGGAAGGTATTAGGTGGCTCCAACAACTTCTTAAAAACGTTACTCTTTCTTTACAGAATGTCAAGTGAGATTTCAAGGGGGAATACTTCATAACCGAAGTATGTTTTCCTTAGGGCAATAAACCATGATTGAATGCACATGCCTGCCACCCCAGCCCTCTGGATTTCTAGCCAAAACTTTCATCTGCTTTTCAGAGAAACCATTTTTTTTTAAGGGGAGGTGTTTTCTTCAAATACAGGGAAGGCCCCTCCTGGGTGGCAGAAGGAAAGTCAGGTAAACTTTATAAACCTAGCAGGAGAGCGGATTTTGGCAGCGCTAGAAAGTGGAGTGGGGTTTTTCTGTCAGCCTCACTTAAAACATCACCAGGAGGCCCCCCAATGGCCCCAGTGTGTGGAGGGGTGGGTGGGCACCCGTGTGTGGAGGAGGCAGGCTGGCTGTGGCTCTGGATGGCCACCATCCTCCCAAAGCCCCCACAGGGAGGGTAGAGTGGGAGAGGGTGGAAGTGCCTAGGGAGAGGACGCTGGAGTTAAGTAAGGAGCAAGAGCTGCAGTCTTGGGGACCAACACCAGGCATTCCCTGATGGATTTCTCATCAACCATGTGGGAGTCATCGGCACAGGGAGGTGTCCACACACCCGCAGCTAGACCCCCTCCTGCAGCAGCACCAGCATGAAGACGCACTAGTGCCGCAAGCTCGGTGCAGAGATGACCCTCATCCATGGCCGGTGGCTGTGAGGGGGGCAGGTGAGGCCTCTCTTGGGGAGGAACAGATGTCTTGGGAGACCACAGCTGTGCAGCTGGAACAGCCAGAGG